ATTTTTCATTAGACCACAGAAGGCGGTTTTCTAATTAAAATTTAGAGTTATTCTTGTTGTTTTGCTTTATCTCGATTTTCACGTTACACCTGATCCTGAAATTCGATTGGTCGTTATTACAAGGGGGGGTGGAAAAAATTTTGTGGGTCAGCTAGGGGCTTTATATCGATATGTATTTGAATTTAATAATTTAACGCTAATTTTTATCATCTCTAGTAGTCATCGTTATTTTCAGTCCATTAGAAAAAAAGAAAAATATTTTTATAAGAAATGAAATGTTTTAAATCTTTTCTACACACAAAAAAGTCAGATGACATTTTTGCTGTATAATAATTTTGTTTATAATAATACATATACAGTCAACTACCAATATAACGGAAATCTGGGCTGACTTAAAAGTTCTGTTATGTACAGTAGTATGTTTGCAAATTTCAAATATTAGTAAAGTTAAAAAGATAATAAAAAAGCAAACCCCCAAATAACTATTTATGCATATGTAACAGAATATTACTTGACGACCATTAAAATTCTTTCATATTAGAATTTTTAATAAGCATTAGCAATCGCGGACATAGAGTGCTATGATTGGTCGCCAGCCGATGTATTATAATAAAATTTGTTATATGAAGTTATAATTTAATTATAAAATTTGCAATGACATTATTATACTATTGGACCAGTTATAACCATTTTAATTTGTCTACTAAATTTTGGTATTTCAAATTTGGTTCATTAAGCCGGTGAATTCGGTGTAAGGATACTATTATACTTAGAATTGATCATAATTTATTAGTATACATATTAAATCTAAAGCTACAGACATTAAAATGTTAAATAACTTAAGATAGTGACGTATAGGCATCACTACCCAAATTTTATATGTGGTGACGTGAAGAGGTAGCTGCCTTTGATCTTCTGAACGTCCGCACCTCTAATAAATCCTAATTTGGATTAATAATAACAGAATAAATTGGGCGTAAATTTCATTTAATAAAATCCTAATTTGTATTAATAATAACGATAACAGAATAAATTGAGCATTTACCTTAGTAAAGTTCATTTAACAATTTACTATAGTGCATATATATTTAGTCACATAATAGCACTGAATACATATGTAAGCCGTTCTGTATTCGAAGATCCATTTATATTAAATTTTTAATAAATAAATATTCTATGACAAAAATTGATATAAATCATGGAAGCTAATTATAAAATAAAAAGAAAATTTATTAATTTACACACGGGTACGTATAATTTGTAGATCAATTTATACCAACAAATAAGATTAAGATAAATTTGAGTTAGCATTAGGGTTAAAGTGTTATTTATACTAAAACTTGAGTTAGCATTAGGGTTAAAGTGTAATTTATACTATAACTTCATGGAGATTTTTTTTATTAGTAACAAATAGTGGTTTCATACGCAATTGAGTTACAGTATTATTACTCGTGTTTCATACACTAATATACAAATAGAACTTGCCTGATAAAAACTATAAAATGAAAGTTAAATTATTTACTGTAAGTGTAATTTATTCAAAATTTTCCTTTATATAGAACATTGCATATGAACATATGATACGTAATATTAATTTTAAAAAATTTATTATATAAATTGAGTTGAAATATAAAAGTATTTAAAAGACAATATAATTTCAGTACTTTTTTATTATTAAATTTTAATGTCATTCAATAATTAACCTACTAATACCCTAAATATCATCATGCACTACCACTTGCAACCACTTTTTTAAGCCTATCAACTTCTAATTGCCATTTCTCAGCATTTGTATGAGATTTTTGTAATCTCGATAATAAAAATTTCACTCTCTCATCTACAGAAACTGGAACATGTCCACCACCCAATAGCCATTTGCCTTCTTGTTTAACAAATAATTGCCCTAATTTCTCCAATTCTTCTTCAAATTTATTTATTTTTCCAGTTTCAAGAGATAACATATATTGGGCAGTTTGTAATTCCATAGTGGCGGCAAATATTGAGTCAGATAATATATGTTCAAATGCAGCTTTATAAAGTGGTTTTCCAAGTTGAATCTGATCCGGTCGACCTTTTCGAAAAAAAAAATTTAGAATTAACGAAATCTTGTATATCTTAAAAGTCATTAAATTTTTCCATTAACATACCACTAAGCTGTAAAATATTTATCAACTCTGCTTCTTCCATAGCTCTAATTGCTGTATCATCCCCATTAAAGAATGGTGAAAATTTGATTGCGTCATATGATACCTTAATACACGCATAAAAAAAAATCCATAAAAATAAAATTAAGCATATGCAAATAAAGATGACCAATGAAAAGTACATCTTAGAATAGAGAAAAATTACATACACGATCGCTTCGAGCCAATTCCTTCATCAAATACCAAAATTGTATTCCCTTCCAAGGGATAGTTTTTGCGTCATCCGTATCATCACCAAAGCCAATTTTTCGAATCTCAATAGTTGCTTTTGTTATTAAATCATTTAAGGCATCTTAAAATAATAATAATTTAATACGCGATTAATTTACTTCTAAAAAACAATATTCAAAAAAAATATATATATTGAAGTGTTGTTAAACTTACCTTGAGGAGTTTGCCCACCACGAATTTTATTTATAAAAAATCTTAAATCAGTTAACCGGCCACCTAAAATTCCAACAAATTCTTCTAAACCTTCAATATTGTAGCCATCAACATTCATTTTAACCAAGTTTACAGCTCTTTCAACAGGTGCATCAGTAAGGTTGCAATAATTGAATGTCTTATTAGGAAATACTTTAAAAAATTAAATTTTAAATGTTATATAAAAATCGATAAAGATACAAAACTTGCAAATAATGTAGAATTTTCATTACCTTTACTCAAACTCTTAACAATTCCCACATTAGAACTTATAAATACCACATGTGCAACACCATTATCAACTAACAAGGCAGCTAATTTAGCTAAATGACTCCAAATTTCATCCCTCTCAGTCGTATCTTTAGTCATAAATGAATCAATCACCACGATTGGAATATCAGCAGGATCATAAGATTCTACAAATTGTGGCTCAATAAATTTATTTGATTTCTTTTGATGCTTTCTAATTAGAGAATCAGGAGCGATATCATGTAATGCGATCGCTAACGTATCAAGAATCTTTTTTATCTCTGAATCGGCTGATGATGAAAAACCAACTAAATAATACGAAAATTGTTACAAAAGTTATTATAAAAGTTATTATGAGAATTAAAATAATCTTTACCGAATTTTAAGCATAATAATATTTAACATACGTGTTTTATTTCCAATCATTGCACTTGCTAACCCATCGATAAGATTGGACATGGAGATTAATAACGAGAACACAGGGAAATATCCTACTTGTTTTGCCAACCTCAAGATAAGCTCATTTTCATTGCGTGAATTTACAATCTCATCACATTTAATCACTATCTTATTCCTAGAACAAATATATTAATAAATATATTAGCATGAATATATAGTTGAAAAAAAAATAAAAACTATTATAAAATAAGTTGGTCCGCGTCCAAATCCCAAACTCGTATAAAATTCTATTAATGATCTTTATCCAACAAATAATACATCTTATAACTATATATAGTATATTTACAATTTTTTTTTATAACTTGCAATTGTTTTTAAATTTGGGATTTGTCCAGTTTTGTCGGCAATCGAAAGCTTACTTTTTATCTTGAATCACTTGATCAATAAATTTGCTTTTACCAGTTCCACTTGGACCCAACAAGACAATAAACGTTTCTGATGTATAAATAATATTAACATAAAATTGAAATTTAAAAATAATATTTATTAAATTAAATTACAAAATAACCTGGAGGTTCTCTTAACCAATTTCGTAATTTTTGCTCTTCTTGTTCTCGTTCTTTCCAGATACTTATATCAGCCAATGGATCGTAGATTGACTTATTCCGATATAAAATACGTTCAATTGCCTGCCTTTTAAGCCATTGGTATATACGATATTCTTGCGGATTAAAACGTTGTGTAATTTTAGATTCGATAAAGAAAACACGGATAGGATCGAAGCTGATAGATATTAAAATGTGTAAGTCATAAATAAAATATTATATGACTATTAAATGTTTTATAGCTCACATAATATATGAAACCCCAGCAATTATAGCAGCAATAAGTGGAACCTAAAAAAAAAAAGTTTAAAACTATGTAAACTGAATTATTAAATTACAAAGTTTAATAAAATCAAATATTGTCAAAACCTACAGAAATTCTTGGATGAGCAACCATCCAATTATATACAAGATTTGATTTCTGATAAGAGTAAAATTTTAATTATTGAAATCATTCGTAGGGAATATGCAAAAAGAATATATAATAAACTCCTTACAAGAGGTTGATCATAAAAAATATTCAATCTTGTGCCATTAATTGTTTTTCCATGAACACAATTCCTAGCACTGGCAGCTGATCTCATGTTTGAATAGGCTATGAAAGCATATCGTGGAGGTTCCTTGGCTGATTCTTGATGTAAATTTATGTCACGAATTAAACCATATTTTCGAAATGTGTAGAACAGAGGTTCCTTAAAATGTATACATACGAATTAAATAATGTAATTTTCTTTACCGGTAAGTACAGTTATTAAATAAAGTATTCATCATGTCAATAAATTATGTTTTGCGAAATTATTTAAATATCAACCTATAACATAATTAAATTGTGATTGTTCATTTGAATTATAAAGTAATTTATTAAAATAATGAAAAAAAAAATACGAATACTTTATTCACTGACTGTACTTTCAAATAATATAAAAATGACATACTATTGAAACATCAGATCCTTTAAATTCGACACGCAGGCGGCTATAATATTTATTGAAATTATTTAAAACAAAATTCAAAATATCATTATAAAGAAGGTTAACCACTGATAAACCTTGCTGGATATCTCTGAACCAAATCTTCAATAAAAGGTTCACCCTATCGAAACGAAAATAGAACTCGTAAGATTTATAACATTATATAAAATTATGCAATATTATAAAATAATATCAAGTAGTGAACTCAAAGAAAGATAATTCAATGAACCTCAACAAGATAAGCCTTGTTCGGCTGAAAATTAAACCATGGGACCAATTTATTTTCGTTTAAATGATCTTTAATGTGATTTTGAATCTCTTCCAATGCAGATTCTTTAAGTTTAGGATCGGCACGAAACGAAAAGTTGACAAACATACCACCCTCCTTCTTCCTAACAAATAGACCAGTAAATTAATAATAAAGATAAATGGATTCGTGATTTTGGAGAAATCTTACCTAGGTTCTATACCTTCTACTTTAAACTCATAAGGCATCGTACTTTCCGATGGTATCCATTTTCCAGATTTTATTTTTACTTCTAATATAGATCTATTCGATCTAACAAAACGATGCCGTAGATCAAAAGAGCCAATTTTTATAGGATATATGTTATCGAAATAAAATTTCCCATGATGTAATATTGGGTCAGTCTAAGAATTGGATTGATGACTTAAAATATTATCAAATATATAAACTTTTTACCATAATATGAAAAAAATACATACAGAAATCGATCCTATTGCGGAAGCATGTAATGGATTATTATGCGTTGAGAAAGTATTTACTCTTGAATAATTAAGAAATTTGGATGATAATCTTGAAGTAAGGTAAACATTATTGCGTATAATTATCCTATTCGATATCGATGATTGACTTTTTAGTATAAACATTTTTTTTTTAACGTATTGGTATTAATAATGAAATATCGTAAATTCGGGAACAAAGTTGTCCGTCTAACACTTTTTTTGATCGACAGATTATTTATACACTAGATTTTGTAATACTCAAAATTGATGCTCGGAAATAAGTAATTTTTAGTTTGCCAAAGTTGCCAACACTAACCATAAATGGTTAGTGTGTACTCTATTATATTAGTTTACACATTATCGTTATTGCAATGATTACGAAAGTATCTCAGCACAACTTACTATATATAAAATGTTTAGAAATTTAGGTTCCCTAATCATAATTCCACCACCAGTTAGTCTACGCCACTCTTCGCTACCAATCAAATTATAAGATCAGGTGTAACATAAAATTTCAAAATTCCTTGCAAAATTTTAGTTCTATTAGACCTTTATACTGTTTCAAAAATACTTCCGTTGTTTGATCGAATCAGTTCAATCAAAAGCAGGATTTTTTCTCTTCGTTCAAAGGAACTGGGGAAATTAGTTAATCCTTATTTTTAATTGTAGCAAAAAACTTGGCTCACTTTGTTGAGAGATTGAAATTTAATTTGACTTCAAAATTTGGATTATATTTGTCGGTTAAAAATTTTTTTAAAAAGCTTAAATATTATTAAAGTTATAAGCAGTTAAAGTTTAAAAAAATTAGCGTCATGTTAATTGCATCTATTGAATAGGCGCAATGGTTAAGTTTACTCTGATCAGAACTGCTGTAGAACTGAATTACTCTTATTTTCATTATTCTTGAGATAACTAAAAAATTTATTCCAACTACCGTTTCTCTCCGAGGAATGTGCTCGTATTTTAGGTTCATTGATCATCTATATCGGGTCTTTATATCAAATTGGCGTAATATCTCAAGCCAAATTCGGTGCATTAAGTGATTTTGTCAATTTTAATTAGATAACAAGCTGGTAATGCTAAGTGTAGAATTGCTTAAAAATAAGGTATTTTTTTTTATAAATTTTTAAATTCTATAGTTATAAGAATTTACAAAAGTAAACATAATTTGATGAGAAGTGACTTGGTGCACTATATGACCGATGAGGCAGAAATGCATATTGACATAAATGCCCCGAGCCATCTTGGTGATAATTTACCCTTTCACGATTCTCCTGGCCTTATTTATAAATTCCACAACTAAATCTTATAAATAACCTAATAACCTGATAAATAACAAAATCCAAAAAAAAAAGAAAACTAATGTAAATTATACTATGTCATTTACTCAACATCATATAAGGTGACAATTCACTAACAATATACGCATACGGCTGATAAAATACTAATTTGTTACCTTCCGTGATATCAAGTAAATAACATGTCAGGAAAATAATTTTCGAGAAAATGAGCATATACCTAAATGATCGGGCTTATCATTGAATTTCTTTACTTTGTGCGAGTTTTTCGTTGTCTGTTTTAGGTCTTTTAGTTTACCAGTAAATTTCTTGGATTCGGTTGCGGATCACTTTACATTTCTCTACATTAAAATTAAATCACTTTTATAATAATGGAAAAGCTTTATCCAGTCATGAGAAATTAAAGTACTGTATGACTTTTAAAACTATAATGTTTATACAGTTGTCCCTCATTAATATCAACCCCGTTAATATCAACCTAGGATATAAAATGAATTTCTATATGTTAAATTATATTAAAATTCCCTCATATATATCAACTTTAATATGTTCTCTCATTAAATCACTATCAACATGAATATAAAAGCGATCCAAATAGGTTGATATTAATGAGGGACGACTGTATTTGAAAAAAATTTTGGCTCTTCTATAGTATAGGTTGGCAGATATCCGTTAGCGTTGAAGTAGTATAGGTGGGCAAACTCCGCAATTATCACATAGCACTTAGAGGATCGGGGGGGACTAAATGGACTAGTGCAGGCCGGCATCAACGGATTTTAGATCTTGTAACATATAAATTTGGCCCTCTTTCGCCCCCTTTCAGATCAACTATAGTATGGGTGGGAATTTTACGTATGTATATTAATTAGATTATTTATTATTTACTTTACATTATTTTGAGAGTGGAATCGGTGAATAATTATTCGAGCATCGATCGAAAATTTCGAGCATCGAAATAAACTTCATTCATTGAATTTTAAACTCATTCAATCATCGAGCATCAGTCAAATTAAAATTTAATAAGTTTTTAATTGAATAATAAATAAAAATTTCATAAATTTTGTTTAATAAATTTTTTCAAATTGACATTGTTAACAACTCAATTAGACCCAAAATGCAAAAGATTACATGTTTTATCGACTGATGAGCGAAATCAAGTTGAAGAAACTTTACGTGCTATGTA